GAGCACCGCAAGCAAAGCCTTGGAGGCGGCGGGGTCCCGCACCTCCAAGGCTTTGCTCCGGGTGTCCCTGATCTGCTCGGGGTGTCCCTGGTCTGCTGGGAGGCGTCCCCAGCAGACCAGGGACACCCCGAGCAAAGCTGCAGAGGCGTCTGGGTGGTCCTGCCGCCCGCGAGTTCCGGGGCGCGAAAAGCCCCGTTCGTAAGTGCGGATCCGACATAAGTCGGATCCGTGTAACTCGGGGACTGCCTGTATTCTCTTTAGCTGTTTTGCCATGAGTAGCAGAAAACAAGTTTAAGAAGGACTTGGCCAAGGGTCACCTGGGTGAAAATTCTCTAGTCTATATTATCACATAAGATTGAGCCCATAGCATGGAGAATTATAGGTGTACTAGTATAATGCAAGAAAAGTGTTGTCTAGTGGTTAGATTATATGACTGTAGGGGGATCAAGAGACATGGGTGCTATTTTCTGTTCTGCCACTTGTTTGCCATGTGACATTGGACAAGTTTTGCTCTGTGCCTTCGTTTCAATATCCGTGAAATGGGGATAATCTGACTTCCATAGTGTAAATGAAAAGTACTCTGAAATTAGCAGAACTCTTGGTATATTTTTAAATCAAGCATCACTCCATGTAAGAAATTAGTTTTGATTTTTAAAACCGTTAGCAATTTGGGCCCACATCCTGTCGTCAGTATCCTTCTGGAGCCTCGAGCGAAGTCATGCGTAAAAGCTAGTGACGAACTATGGCCCTGAGAATAAGTTGTGAGTGTGCACTGGTATGCTCCTGTAAACAAATATATATAGATATATTAGTGCGATACATGAGGGGAGGCCACATGCCCCACAGATTTTTTTCATTACATACCCCACAATCCAGACAGGCTGCTTGGTGAATTGGGGGGTAGGTGGCATGTCCTTCAAAAGCCCTACTGACCGCCCATGGCATCGCTAGCTCAAGTTGTCCCTGCACTTTGGGCCCTTGGACGCTGCCCTGCTCACCTGGCTGTGGTTATGATCTTGCACTGAGGTGGTTCCAGTCAGATCCTGACAGGCACTCTCCCCACAGGGGCAGCTCCTACAGCTCTTGTGCTGGCTTGGCTCTCTGCTCTGGGCACTGCAACCTCCAGGTTTCCAGTGCCCCTCAGGTTTGGTCCCAACCTCCTAACTGGACTAATTTTGTGTGAGTAGTGTCCTGGCCCATGGGGTGACAGTACCACTCACTCACATGTGACCTACCTGGACTCCCCTCACCGTGGCTCTGGGACCCTAGAAGTCTTAGTGCCCGGAGCAGGGCAGTGAGCCCAGCCAGCGATGGAGCCGCAGGAACTGCCACGTGACCCTTCAAAACATTCTGGTGACCCAATGCTGGGGCCCTACCCACAGGCTGGGAAACCCGATTTAGGCCGTATGTTGTAAACAGAGCATATTAGCTGTTCTCGCTCATTGAATCATTGTTTTTTCTCTTCAGATTTCCTGACATTCGGCAGCTTATGTGGCTCATTTCCCAGGAGGATGAAGACTTCCCTCTGATGGAATGATGTGTCCAAGAAATAAACCACCCCCAAGCAGCATTCACTCACCCTGCACCCTGACTTTTTGTACATGTAATGAGAAAATCCATCCTCTATTTGTACAAAAAAAAGTTCTTCTGTAGGAGTGGCTTTGGTCTCTGCTTACCAGAAATGCTGCACTTAAGTTGGGTCCTGTATAAGAGACTGTTCTTACAAATCAACTGTGGAGTGCAGTAAGACAATCAGTTTTAATGAAGAAAATACATTGAAATCCACCATCGGTGCTATAATCAGGTAGAGCTTGTAGGAGGCAGACGAGAAAACCCCAAGCTGTTCTTGTGTAACCTACATCCGTCCCTACTGGATGTTGTTCACTGTCCCATCTAGTGGCATTTAGCTCATTTAAAGAGAGAAAAAGAGTAAGCTCTAGAGTCTTAGTTGAGAGCCAAGTGGCTTTTAGCTCAAGCTGTAGAGGCTCATGCATGAAGCTCCAGAGGTCCCACGGCATTACACTTGCTCCTTTCGCAAAGCAATCAGGGCTATCTACAGAAGAGAGAATAGGGGAAGTCTAGTTCCTCCACTGGAGCCAGAGGAACCAATCCAGGGTGTAAACTATTAGAAGCAATATCTATGTCTTCCTAGATCTACCCTACATGCAGCTCCAAATGCACATGGTGCTCTATTGTAATAATAGTGCATATCAAACCATAACTGTTAAAACTCAGCCATTTCTGTCCTTTTGGGACATTGGAGGTTTCTCTTGCATTAGTTTGCTACATAGAGAACATTTGAACATAGCTGCATCTTTTGAACCTTGGCCGGGTGCTTTACTTACACACACAACCCGCACTCTGGCTTTGAAATACAAAGTATTCGTATGCACTCACTAGTCATTACTGCATGTGCGTAGCACTGAGGCTAAGCAAAGAGAATTGACTAACAAGGAATGGCTGGCTAATCTACAGCTAGGGTTGCCAGGTATCTGGTATTTGTACCTTCTGTCCGGTAAAGAAATGAGAAAATACCAGACATATAAAATGTCTGGTATTTTCTGCATCTCCTGGCTCGGCGCCCAACGGACACGTGGCAGGGGAACAGCCCGGCAATTAAAAGGGCCACGACTGCATTTTGGCTGCCCAGTACTTTTTTTGGAGGGAGGGGGGTGTCTGGTATTTTTGGTGAAATCATCTAGCAACCCTATCTACAGCAGAGACATTCCACTCATCGTAGAGGTTTAACTGTTGTTGTGGGTGCATAGAGATATCAATAGTTACAGCTGCCTCAATATTCCCATTATAAAGGATCATTCATCAGTGGCTTATAACTTTTCAAAGTTTCACCTTTGTGACTGAAATCTGAGAGAAAAATTGGGTCTGTGGCTCTGAGGGCAGGATTTGTACCTTACTATAGCAGAAGAGGTGACCATCAGTGGCTCACTGCCGCCCTCTCTCTGCAACTGCCTGTTGTTGCACCTGGTGAAGTCAAGCTAGCAAGTCGTAGCTGTCAAAGGCTGTGGAGATATTGTGAGTGGTGTTTTGTTAAATGCTTGTCTAAGGGAGGTGCAGCCCTGGGCAAGATGCTTGGGTGGGTTTCAGTAGCACAGAATTACACAGGCTTCTATGAATGGTGATGACTTTTTATAAAACCTAGGAGTCAAGCTAGCTACCTCAGTGATAGTCACTAACAATGCATATTTTGTAACACAAGGGACAGCAACTGGGATGGTGTGGAAAGATGAAATCGTTTGTGGTGGGACAGGATTACTGCTGCATCTTTCACTGTCAGTCTCCAGCCACTTTCAGCTGACAAGCCTGCCTGTCTGTGGAATGTTTATGTCCTGCCTTAGGCCACCATGTGCCAACCACGTGAATTGCAACAGCTCCCATATCTGCCTCTGGCTCCTGTGTGGGTATGAGCATGGAGTGTAGTCTCTAATTCTGCTCCATTCTGCTACCCCGTCTGGGGGGGAAGCACACACAAAAGATATTTAATCAAACTGTGAGGCTCAAGCCGTGTTAGATTCATTTGGAAGCCCACTGGTTCCAAGAGGATATCATGTTTTTTCAGGAAATAACTGAACACATCAGAGAGGATATGCCCACATATTTAGGCCATATCTTTAAGGCCCTTCCCTGATGTTTTTTAGAGTTCTGTAGCTAAAATCCCCATTTTAGGAAGTAGCATACATGGCTACAATCCAAGAGCAGATTCATAAACTTATCATAGTAATCATTTGACTCTTGGAGCGTGGGTCTCTACTCTGAACTGTGATTATGTAACAATGTCATCTCATTCCTCAAAACAGCTTCTGCATGCAGATTCAGCAAATAAAGAAAGAAACTGAAGTTGGCATTAGAATTTCTGGGGCCACAACCTGCCTTTGGGGAGGGAGGGAGAGGGGGAGACAGTAAAACAAAGGGCTATAAAACAAACCTCCCTGTTCCATGGGTGGAGGAGGCGAGTGAGGAAGCCAGTGGGGAGTCGGTGTGTACACACACACCCACACCCTCTGATTTTGCTGCCAGTGCTGCTCTGCAACTCAGAAGGCTGGCCACTCCCATACTCTGTGCCTCAGGCGTACTCTGAAATTAAGCAACCCTACCAGAAACAAACATGCATTCACTTAGCAAAAGGATGGCGTGGGTGTTTGTGTTCCCAGAAATGTTAAAGGTGTGCCAGTGTTTATGCTACAGAAACAAATAAGTAGGGATAACAGATGCATGAGCATACAAGTTCTTTTCTACCAGCCCTTCTGAAAGGGATACATTATGGAAGGTTTCCCTGCATTTGGCCCATACTGCATATGTGAAGAAGAATCAGGGACAAATAAGAACATCTTCTAACACCAGGGAGCCATGGAATCTCGGATTGGGTTTGGATTTCTTATTCAGAAGTTCTTTGGTTTCAACAGAGCTATGTATTTTCAGTGAATCACCTGAAAAATGCCAAGTTGCTAGTGTTCTTTAACTATGTCTTTTAACTTTTAGTATTGACTTTCCTTCTAAACAGTCCTGCACTATCACATGATTTGAGCAGCGACAACTCTGTATTGTCAGATGATTATTTTAAAATATGTTTTTAAATGTGTCTGCTTGGAGAGCCTCAGATAAATAGGACTGTAGTAGCTGCAAATTATTTAGAACGGTTATTTTTCATTGATCATAAAAATGATAGCATGGACTTCCATTATTTTACATCTGTGTTGCTTGTTTTTTAGTGCTTTTGCTTGAAGTTTGAATTCTCAACCCCTTTTTCTATTCCCTTTTTCACTTTTCTTTTTTTCGGTTTTATAACCACTTGCTCTATGCTCTCACTTTATATATAATTTGTTCCCCTTTTACTATCCTATTCCTTTCTCTTGTGACTTCCTCTTTCTAATTTCTGTTTACTCCCCTTCCCTCCACTCCATCCCATCCACAATGGGATTTGCTCCATGGGTTATTGTAGCAATCACATGAAATTGTCAAGTACCAATCTGAACTGAGAAGCACAGTTAAGGCTTTGGGAGGTGGGAGCTTTCCCATTTCACTCTGAACGTGAAGTGGAGTGGAATAATATGTGCTTGATAGCCGCTTGTACTGACTCGCTTTGAAGCTGGTCCTTCTTTAAAATTGTATTGGCCATTTCCTGTGTTAAACCTGAGCATTCCTGTAGCCCTAGGGCCAGCACAGATGGGAAGGGCTATAGAAGCAGCTACGGAAGTAGCATCTTTCAGCAGCCGCCTGAGGCTAACTTATAGAGTGGCATGAATGGATTCCAAGAGACCACCACAAAATAAAGTCTGTCATAATGTTGAGCCTTTGCAGAGCATAGGAAAATGACAAATCCCAGAGGCTATCCTATAAAAATCAAGGGCTGTCTTATTGCTAGAGAACACTGGAAACTTATTCCTATTTCTTATGTTTGCCTGTGGCTCTTAGAGCAGTGGTGCGCACCCTTTTTGTACTCGTGACCCCCAGGAAAATTTTGGCTGAGCAATAAATAAATAAATAGATTAAAAAATTTTTTTAAGTGCCTTTAAATGCCGCTCCGCTCGCCTGCTGCTTCTCCCCACCCCCACCATGTGTATATCAGGTGCCGAGCTGGGAAAAGAAAATATCGGCCGGCCCAAATCACAGCAACAACGGGTTGTGTACTCTGTCATAGAGTACACCGCTGTCACTTGTTCTCACACAAAATAGCTGAAACGCAGGCAAACTATCCAGGCAGACTATTCTAATGCCCCAGAATATGTGTGTAAAAATAAATTGGGCTTATGATTAATAAATAAAAATGTGAGACACTTCCCTTTTTCCCTGGTCAGCCTTAATGCCCTACTAAATTTCCATGCATGGAATACTTGGGCATATTGTTAGACGACTACGAAATTTGGTATTGATCTAGTCATTGAATTCCTGCTTCATGAACCGGAGCAAAAAGTTTTCATTGATAGACTGCTCCTTGAAAAAGTGTTTCCGCTTCAGAACCAATTAGCTGGTGAGATAGTATGTAATTTGAAGCTATTTGCATTCCGGCTTGCCTTGAGCACTGGCTCTTTCATCAATATTAGAATTGGCATCCAGCTCTCATGTGACCTCTAACCTTTATTCAGAGTTTCTTGACTTTACAGTTTAATCACACAGGCTACATCTACACAGCTGTGTTATTTCGGAATAATTGACATTAATAAGTTCACGTCTAAAGTACAAAAGTTATTTCGACATAATTTCAAAATACTGTCAAGCTGGAGGACTTCTTACTCTGACTCCTGTAACCGTCATTTTATGAGGAATAAAGGAAGGCAGAGGAAGAGTGCTCTTTCTCGGACTTCCTGCTGTATAGACAGAGCCAAAAGCTGAAATAAGCTATTTCAACTTGAGCTACACAATTGATGTAGCTCAAGTTGCATAGCTTATTTCAGCTTTAGCCCTGCCCACAAAGAGAGATGGGGACAGAAATTAAGATATATGCTTTGATAACAAGTAGGCTAGGTCTAGACTGGCATGATTTTCCGGAAATGCTTTTAACGGAAAAGTTTTCCATTAAAAGCATTTTCAGAACAGAGCGTCTAGAGCACTTTTTGCGGAAAAGCGTCCGTGCCAATCTAGACGCGCTTTTCTGCAAAAAAGCCCCAATCGCCATTTTCGCGATCAGGGCTTTTTTGCGGAAAACAAGTCTGAGCTGTCTACACTGGTCCTTTTGCGCAAAAGTTTTGCGCAAAAGGACTTTTGCCCGAACGGGAGCAGCATGAGTTCGTCAGTGCTTTTGCGGAAATTCAAGCGGCCAGTGTAGACAGCTGGCAAGTTTTTCCGGAAAAGCGGCTGATTTTCCGGAAAAACTGGCCAGTCTAGACAGCCATAATGATCAAAAGTATTGGATTATACTACAAGGGCCGTAGCTGGTGAGACTACAATGAAATCACAGCAACTTAAAACCATATAAAGCATTTATTCGACTCAGCCATGCAAGTTTAAATGCCCTCTGCTGGGAAATGAATGCATGTTATTTGTTAATAGCCTATTATTACCACATGATTAGTAATAGAAATTGCTTGTCACCCTAAATGATCAACCCAGTCAGAACTATATAATTATGGATTATTTGTATTACTGTACTGCCTGAGGAGCCCTAGTCATTGGCCTGAAGACCACTGTGCTTGGTGTCCCCAAGATCTAAATTAGCCATTTGGTTTTCCATCAACTTATAAGGTTCCAAAATCCCATAGAGAATGGGTTGCAATTGCTCTCAGTTGTGCAAAATAATTTAGGATGAAAAGCTCCCGCCTGTGTTAAGCTTTTAAAAGCTACTGGGTTACTGAGACACACACCACAAGATCTTTCTTCTGCGACCAGTGACAATAATGACAAATTTCATTCGATGGGAAGATTCTCATTTGCTTAGCTAAGGGTCTTTACTTGCACTGAGTAGTGCCTGACTCTGCAGATAGTCCCACTGACTTCAGTGGGGACATCAGTGGGAGTAAAAGGTGTCTCAATCTGTCCCTCAAAGAAGAACACAGTTATGCAAGTGAGAGGCACATACGCTCAGTAGAAAGGTGCGGAATTGGTGAAGCAGTCCAGCACTTAGTTTTGTTCTAGTGTTTGGTTCATATTCTGATCTTACGTCTACCGTAATAAATCCAGAGTAAAGCAATGAAGTCATTGGCTGTATTCTGGATTCACCCTAGACTAACTCAGAATCTTGCCTCTGCTTATTGCTTGTCTAGAGGTGCTTTTCGTTTCGTTGTGTATTGTTTTCTTGTGTATAGTGTAATATTATTGTTTAAAGGTCAAGGAAGACGTTCCACCTAGTTGCTTCACTAGTTCAGCTGAGACTATTAGACTGATGATCTATAAGACCCGGGTTCAGTATTGGGCTTTGGCATGTCTATGTGCAGTACATAGCTGTTATTGTTCAAAGATCAAGAAAAACATTACAATAGTCCTGTATATCATCCAGCTTGTTAAAGAAATAATGAACCCTGTGTTGGCTGTGCAGTTATTGTCCTTCATCGCTCAAGACACGCTGGGCCTGATTCTCTTCTCAGTGTTATTGCTATTTAACTCCATTGACTTGAGAGAGGAACTACTTCTCATTCACACCAATCAGGCCCATGCTACTGGAACAATAAAAGCTTTTCTTCACATATATTTTCTACTCCTTCAGTAACGTAAATGCCATTCCCATTTACAGTGTTTAAGTCTATCACTACCACTTCTTCATCTTCCACCTCCACAGAGAGCAGCACTTTTTAGTACTGAACACAAGATGAGAAAAGGAATCCTTCTATGCATATATTCATA